AAAAAATCTCTTTATTCACGCAGCCTATCATCCTCCAGTTCTCCTCTCTATTGCAGTTTAATTCCTTAAGAAAGCCATCTACCAAAAGAAAAAAAAGCCATCTACAATCAGTGCCTCGACTTCCTTTCCTCCCACTCTCATCTTCATTCTCTGTATTGTTGTTTTTACTCTCCTCATTCAGCTCAAACTGCTCCATCATTACCAATGAACTCTTGATTGGCAAATTTAACAGTCTTTTCTCAATCCTTATCTTTCTTGACATCTCTGCAACCTTTGACCTTGTCAATTACCCTCTTCTCCTTGATTCTTTTTTCTCTCTAGGTTTTTGTAATTCTCCTAATTCTCCTTCTACCTGGCTAACGGCTCTTTCTCAGTCTCCTTTGACAGATTTTCTTCTAGGTCATGCCCTGTAACTATGGGTATCTCATAGGGTTCTGTCCTGGGCCCTGTGCTCTTCTCCAGCTATATTATTTCACTAGGTGATCTCATCAGCTTCCATGGATTTAATTATCATCTCTATGAAGATGATTTTTCAGATCTGTTTATCTAGACCTAACTTTTCTCCTGACCTCCATATCTCCAACTGCTCATTGGGCATCTTCCATAGACATCTTAAACTCAACATGTAAAAAACTGAACTCATGACCTTTCTCCCAAAACCTTCCCTTCTTCCCAAATTCTTTCCAATTACTGTCATGGGAAGCATCATCATCCTCCTAATTACCCATGATCACGACCCAAGTGTCATCCTCAACTCCTCACTCTATCTCATCCTCCATATCCATTCTTTTGCCAAGTCCTGTCAATTCTAACTTTGCAACGTCTTTCACATAGGTCCCCTTCTGTCCTCGGACACTGCCTGATACAGGCCTTCGTTACCTCACATTTGGACTGTGGCAATAGACTTCTGTTTGGTTTCCCTTCTTCAAGTCTTTCCTCACTCCAGTCTCTCCTCCAGTCAGCTGCCAAGATGATCTTCCTAAAGTGAAGCAGTGAGTAGGTCACCCCTCACTGCTTAGCAAATTCCAGCGATTGATTCCCTATGACCTCCAGAATCAAGCAGAAAATAAAACATTGTTTGCCTTTCATAACTCTCCATAATCTGCTCCCTTCCTTCCTTTCTTCACTCCCCTCTTGTTCTCTATGATGCAGTGACATTGACTTCCTTGCTGCTCCTCCCTCCAGATGCCCCCAGTTCTGTGCCCTTTCCCTGGCTATCCCCCACGCCTGGAACGTTTGCCTTCCTCCCCACTGCCTCCTGGCTTTCTTGACCTCCTTCCTTCACATCTTGGCTAAAATTTCACCTTCTGCAAGAAGCTTTCTCAGTCCCTAATGTTAGCATACTGTAATCACTTAATACATGCTTCTTGACTTGATGACTGACTGACACATGTGTACGTGATATTTCCCTAATAGAATGAGTTTCCTGAAAGAAGAAATTATTTCATTTTTTTAATCCCCAGCATTTAGCACAGTGCCAGGCCCATAGTAGGTCCTGAATGTTCGTTGATTGCTTGATATGTGCCACAGTAGCTAAGTGAGTTATTTACTGTCACTCTATTTTCTTTATCCAGAGACGTAATTATTTTTCTAGCTTATTTCCTGTATTAGACTCTCTACCAGTGGCAGGACTCATGCTAAGCTCTGTGTACATTATGGTAATGTCTTGCTTCACACCATCCACAAATCCTTATCTACTTCTCTGAGGTTTGTGATCTCCAAAGTCAAAAAAGGTGGCACAGAGTTAAACACGTTCTTTAGCTTGTTATATTCTCATCGGATTGTAGACTCCATCAGAAGCTAGCAGTGTGAGTGATGAAGGTTAAGGAATTGGATAAAAATGGATAAAAAGGAGAGAGAAAAGAGAAAGAAGATAAAGAACAGAAAGGGCAGAAAGATAAACCATTAGGGGAGAGATAAGGGAGACATAATGATTCACAAGATAGATGAGGTTCATTGGAGTTAAAACTAGGAAAAACTTTAGAAGCTGTCTCATCCAACCCTGTTTTCCAACAAGGAAACAAGAGGCCAAGGAAAAATGAACTGACTTAACCAGGTAGTAAATAAACAAGCTAGGATTTGAACCTAGCTTCTCAGAATCTGATTCCAAGAGTCTGAATTAAACCACACTGCCTCTAGAAGTATACCAGACAGAAATCTTGGCTTCAGCTGTTCCCTAAGCTGCTTGTTTGTTCCTTGTGGTGGAGAAGGGAACTTCAGCTGCTTTTTTCATAGCTTCTGACCTTGCTTCTCCAGGCTGACAGCTATATGGCCCAGCTGACAGGGCCTGCTCCTTGTCTCCTGGACTCATAGCTGAAAAGAGTGCTACCTTGAGGCCAGCTAAGCAATGAAGCTGCCATTTTGAGAGCTGCAATCTGTGACATTCACTGTTCTTTACAAATGATACAGTTTAATGTCACAGAGCTAGTACTGAATCTTATCCCTAAGCTAGCTACTCAAAATGCTCAAGAATCCATCTGGAAGTTCATCTCAGCCTCATAATTTAAAAAATAGGACAGAGCCTGGGTCACTTCACTCTCTTTACACTTTGCTTTTCCTGTCTGATCCTGGGATTCGCCTCTCAACTAAGCTGCTGGTTCTAAGGTCTAGCGCATTTCATCCTCAAATTGACCTGGCTTTGGAGGATTTGCAGAGCATCAGTCTTCTTCCCAAGGGACCTAAACATCTCAGCCAGAGATAAAGGAACTTGATATACTCAATAAATTTAGAAAAGGAGGAGGAGAGATCAAGAAAGCAGAGAGAAACAAAGGAACACACTGTCTTGAAATTCTTGACATTTTTTAATGCTCTGAGCCATCCTGAAGGGAGATACAGATGGGTGAGCTTCTCTTTCCATCCTCCTTTTGTCTCCAAGAACACCAAGTCATCAGGACCCTGTGGATAGCTTCTCTTATGATTCTGGGAGCACAGAGCTTTCACAAATGGTGCAAAGGCACAGTCCAAAAAGGCTCAGGTTTGTAATGAGTGATGAGTTCTTCAGCATGATCAACCTGGTTCTCAGGTTGCATCATGCTGATTTGTACTTGTTGACATTTTTTTGCTAGATTTCTTGAGTCATCGATGGCCCTGCCCTGACTTAAGAACAAACATGATCAAAAAGATCTCAGCCAGCATGAACATAGTCATAGACAGAGTACCTAAATAGTGAGGGAGATCAGACTGCAAAAGCTCACTCTTTAAGGCCAAAACTCTCCCAGGAATACTGCAATGCTATGAATCATGGGCTTCTGAGAGTCATAATCTCAGAATAATTAAAATGTCAGGAGCCCTAAAGGGCAATGGAAGGATGCATGACTGTTGTTAAGCAGACTGCAGCATGTTACCAATGATGACTTGTAAGTGAGAATTGGTATAACAGGCAGTCAATTTCAATTCAAGAAACATTCCTTAAGCAATCAGCAAGGCACTGCACTGGGTGCCAGAGAGACATCTTAAAAGACAAGTGTGACTAGAAAAGGAGGTGGAACAGTCATATACAGAGAATAAGAGAAATAGACGGTCCAACTATTCTGGAAAACAATCTGGAATTATTCTGAAAAAAAAATGAGTGATCCCAAAATCCCGCTACTAGATATATAACCCAAGGGTCAGAAAAAGATCGAAAGGTCCCATATATACCAAAATATTAATAACATCCCTTTTTGTTGTTTTACAGTAATAGAGACAGGGAAACAAAGTAGATGACTTTCCATTGGAGAATGGATATAAGCATGTTGTGGTACATGCATGTAATGGAATATTTACTATACTAGAAAAAATGATGACTATGAAAAATTCAGAGAAGCACAGAAGACTTATATGAACTGATGACAAGTGAACTAAGCAGAACCAGGAAAGCAGAATTCACAACGAAGACATGATGGAAATGGAAAGAACCAATAAAACAGCAACAAGTGTTATTCTAATGACTAAAAGCTTGGACCCAAAGAAAAGATGGGAAGATGCACCTCTCTCTCTTCTTTGTAGAGGTTCAGATCTAAGGGTATATAACATTGAATGTACTCACAGACTTGGTTAATTACATTGGTTTGTTTTACCTGCTTTTTTTTTCTTTTTTTCATTCTTTGTTATAAAAGGTGCTCCTTTGGTAGGGAAGGTAAGAGGGAAACATATAGAAATGAAGGTGATATAAAAACAAAAGATATAATTTTTTAAAGGATTGCTTTTATAAAAAAGAGAGAGATTATAGATAAACAGCTTGAATACAGGTATCAGAAAGACATTAAAAGAACCAAAGGAAGACTTTCCTTTTGGATAGATCCTTCTTAAAGACATGGCAAAAAATTTCACAGAATGAGAACATGAGCACAGATTATGATGTATTCTATTGAAAGAATTACACACACTGGTAAGAGCATGGATTCATAAAAGAATGTTCTTAATCAGTGTTCTTAAGTCTTTATCACCTGTGCCCATCCTGCCCCCTTTGATGATAAATCCCTGTAGTTCAGAGACCATGCTTTGGTTTCTTTTGAATACACCCATAATAGTAACTGGCATAAGGCTACCACATAGGGGCTTGACTGGTTATTCTACTTCTGATATCAAAGATGACTTTCGCAGATGGCTCCTTTCCAGTGTCCTGGGGCTTGATGCCTTTCCACCCTAAGCAATGATTTTTACTTTGATATATCCATTATCTCATCAAGATGAGCACTCCCTCCACTGAGGCAGTTCACCACCCCTCCTCACTTTCTCTTTTGGTGAGATTCTTGTCCATGGTTCTCCAGAAGTCCTCCAAAAGTGACCTACCCACCCCACATGCTGGAAGACTTCCACACAGGTGCTCTGAATATTCTATGGAGATTAGCAAAGTACTTGGGGTATTGACTTACCATTCCTCCCTCTCACCCACCCAATTCTATTTTTGCAATTACTCATGTCTATTATGACATCTTTTATAGTCCTTTTTTCAAACTTTTCATAAACGTACTGTATGTAGAGAGACCTGGTGGAATGCGGAAAATTAAGGCACTTACCTTCCAGGCCATCTGCAAAGGAGCCAGCCCAAGATAGTGAACAGGAGAACTCCAGTCACTGTTAACACAACCACAAACCAAGCTTCGGGAGCCCAGTAATCCTCAATTCTAGTCACTAGCAAGGGTGTGGGGGAGGAAACCTGAAAACAGAGATGGGACATGCCCAGGAGGAATCAGACAAGGCTTTGGGAAATTGGCAAGGCAAGAGAGGGAAGACCAGGAGACAGAGTCTCAGACCAGGCTGCCTCAAGTTGGGGGAGAGGAGCCTCACCATCGGGGGTTTTGTGCTGGCAGTAGGCACTGTGGTCATCCAGGGAATCACATGAACAATGACAACGGCTGTGGTACTGAAGAGTGGGAGGGTAGGTCCATTGTCAGCCACCCGGACCAGGAGCTCATACGTGTGGGAGTCCAAGAGCCCATTGGATTGAAAAGAAAAGACGTCGTGGAATAGAATATTGTCCCTCATGTAGAACCTTCCATTGCTGTTTCCTACCAAGGAATGTCACAAAATTGGTTATCTCTTGTCTCCTTTTTCTGCCTTCTTTTTTCTGCTTCCTTCCCCACTAGAATGTGAGTTCTCACTCTCAACAGGTGAATCTCTACCATGCCTCTCTCCTGGGACCTAGTGGCCTTACCCACTGTCTGCCAAAGCTCAGTATTGGCAATGTCTTGCTGCGTGGGGAGGGGTGGGTTAAGACAGATGACCTCAGCTCTACTTTTCTCCACCCCTGCACTCTCTGCATCCTTTGTCATCTTCCCCTGGCCCCAACATGTCTCTTCCTGGGGCAGAAGGGCAGGTTAAAATCTCTGAGGGATGGGCCTGGCTTCTGCCAGCACAACACCCAACTTGGCTGAGGACCACGACTTTGGGGGGGGGCACCCTAGTTGGGGCAGTGTTGGCTATCCACAAGCTCTGAAACTTTGAACATGGAATTTGTAAGTGCAAGAATCAGGGGCTTGCACAAAGACCAGCCAGTTGGGGTAAAAGCCCACAGGAACCAACAAGGTGAGATGCCAATTCTTTTACACACCCTACTTGAACCCCAGTCCTGATGTGCCCTTAGCAGCAGCCTCCCCAGCAGCAGCACAGAAGTCACTGTCCTAGGGTGTCTCACTGCAAGGGACCTTGTGGCTCAAGGTACAAGATTTCTCCCTGGGATCTCCTTCTGCAACTGAATTTGTCTTTAGAAGTTGATTTAAGGATGATTTTTCTGCTTGCCCCAGCACAGTTCATGGTAACTGACCCAGGCACCAAAACAGCTCTGTTCCAGTATACCCCGGGATCTCTAAAACCATCCCTCTCAGCCCAGGTCCAAAGGCTTACAGTCCCAATCCACCAGCCCTGACCTCCAACAATGGTGAAAGAGAATGCTCCTGGGGCTTGCTCTGGCCTGTCCCTGTCCGAGCACATCAGCCTTGTCACCTCTGCATTGACGCTTGGGGCAGAAGAGATGGTGATCTCTTGGAACGGGGGTTCACATTCTGGGGCATAGTCATTCACATTCTACAGCAAGATAGCAGGGGGTTCAGAGTCCTCCTTTCTGACTCAGTGGTAAAAACTCCAGAGCATGGAAGCCCACGTTCTAGCCCCTTTCTGGAAATGACAGCCCCCTTTCTCCAAGTTAGCCAAAAAGGGTGGGAGGCTGGGGTCCAGTCAGGGGTATTGTGAGGGGGTCTCCCAAACCCAGAGCTCAGGGGAAAACTCATCCCTCAGTTGCCATAAGGAAGAGATTATTTCTACTATAGAGCACCTTAAAGGCTATAAAATATTTTCCCCACGATCCTGCTGGAACAGTGGGGCTGTCAGCGGGAGGAAAGGACACCAGCCAAAGTGGAAGAATTGGAATAAGACCATGATTTTTAGAAGTGGAAGTGACCTTAGTCCAACCCCTTTCTTTACAGATGAGGAAACTGAGGCCTAGCAAAGTTGAGTAATTTGCCAAAGGTAGGCTAGGTAGAAGGGTTAGGATTCTAACACAGGGCATGGCCAGTGGACCAGGATTGGGGCAGAGTTTACCTGAACCTCAATGGTGATGGTGCAGGAGCCTGACCGGTGGTGTGTAGAATCCTGTTCCTGGTCTCGATCTGTCAGAAAGATCACCAGCATATATGTCTTCTCTTTTTCGTAGTCCAATGATGCCAGAAGATGGAGTTTACCTGATAGAGAAAAGTTTGGCCTCCTCAACTTCCCAAACCCTGATTCCAAGCCCAATTCCAACTTGCCTCCCAGGCTGTCTGTCTCAGAGGCATAGGGCTACAACCATATCTAGAATCCAAAGCCTTGGGTTCAAGCTCTGGCTCCAACTCTTAACTAGCGGTAGGATTAGAGGCAAATCACTTAACCTTTTTGAGCTTCAGTTCCTGCATTTACAAAATAGAGATAAAGAATGAAAGCACTGATTAAGCACTTTCACAAAGCCAGGGATCATCCTGAAATTTCCTGCCTCTTAGCATTCTTATACTTTGTAACCCTTAAAGTGCTGGAGGGTTGGAAACTATTATTTCCCCTCTTCTTTCTCCATCTTACACGAGAGGGAGGTGAGGGGAATAATGGCCACCTGGAGAACCTGTGATACTGAGAGAAACTAGGAGATGTCCCCAAGGGGCTCTTAACCTTGTTTGTGTTTGGACACCTTTGGTAAAGTAAAGCCCGTGGGGCCCTTCTCAGAATATGTGGAAATACAGCTCGCAAAATTAAAAATAAAACAAAGCAAACCTGAGTTCATGGAGCCCAGGTTGAGAATCCACAATTTAAGGGAAAAGGGGAAGTTTTCTTAAGCTTATGGTGGAAGGTAGGTACCACTGCGAGGGTCAATGTAGAAGTTGCCTGATGAGTCTGAAATGTGGTACTCAATGCTGTTGGGTGGATAGTCACGGTCTGAGCCAAGAACAGTGCCAATCAGTGTGCCATGGGGAGCATCTTCTCTGACCCGGAATGTGTGAGAAGGACAGATTGGAGCATACTCATTCACTGGTGTCACTGTCACCAGCACTGGCACCTCACCTGGGTTGGGGGTGGGGGATGGGGAGGGAGGAGGAGACAGGGAACTTCATTCAGACCATTTCCCCCAATTTCCCACTGTGTGCAGCAACACCTAGATGCCATACTGGATTTGATGTATGGGCCCAAGCCGAAACCTTTGTCCCTTGCCCCAAAAAGAATTTAGATCCCATTTGTCTACAGGGCCCAGGAAACCCCACCTTGGACTCTGAACTCCCATTTGATCAAGGAAGTCTAGCATTTGCCTGAGGCTATAATCCTATCAACTGGCCTTTTGTTGCCCCCATGCCCAATCTCCCAGTTCTCTGCTACCCCTAACCTAGCCCAGCCCTCCACTGTTTGTTACCTTGGGATGGCCCCCAGCTACTTCCCACCCTTGATTGTATCTAGACCCCATTCACAACCTTCCAGTCATTCCCATCAAGATCCTATACCCCTCCTCGGGTCACCCCAGCCTACTGGCCACCCCCATCAAGATCCTCCCTGGACTCCTCCTCATAGTCACCCCAAACTACTTGGCCACTCCTAGATCCTTCCCACAGTCTATTTGTATATAAGGTCCATCTTGTGTCCATTAAGGTGCTCAGATTCTTAAAATCTAGCCAATTTCTCACAAATGTTCAGATTCCTTAAGAGTCTGACCAAAATGGTGAATCATTAATAAACCTTGTGTTTGGCTGAAAGAAGGTTTGGATCAGATTTATTCGGGCAGGACCCACATGTTGCCATTTAGGGTCCAGTACCGCTAAACCTCAACAGAATGACAGCCTGGAAATATCTAAATTGAGGAGACCAAGCACCTACTTTGGGGGGGGGGCTCCATTCTGATGGAGGAAACTTGTTCCTTGGGGAACAGCTGGCATGAGGAGGAGATGGGGCCCCTGCCCTCCAAGAACTAAGGACTGAGGACAGGGAGAGTTCTTGCCCTTGGGGAGTCACAAATCTGAGAGAGAGACATTGTCCCCATCCTCAGGGACTTTCCGGACTAAGGGGCTAGATGAGGTCCTCCTAAAAGGAAGCAATGGGTAACAAGTGGAATGCTACCTAATTAAAGGTTGTAACAGGGCAAATTGAGGACTCTGAGATAGGATATGGGGAAGGAGCTGGGAGAAGAACTGGGTCCTGATAGGCTCTAACCCCAGGAAAGCGGAAGGTTGCAGGAAGTTGGATGAAGCCAAGACCCGAGAGGACTTACTGGTTTGGGGGGGCTGGCCGCTGTCAGTCACCAAGATGGTGGCCCTGTACTGAACACTGGGTGCAGATGAGTCATAGTCCAGTGCACTGTTCACCTGTCCAAGAGAGAGGAGAGGAGAGAGAATCCCAGGCATTGAACAAGTCTGCCAAACAGGGTTGATGCCACCCCAAGCATGTGTTCCGGGGGATTCTCTTGGGTGAAAAAGGCTGAGAGTTTCTCACATAGCTGTACTCAGGTGAAAACATCCACCCTCCCAGCCCCTCACTGTATGACCTTTGGCATTCCCATAAAAAGAGTCACCCCAATACTGAGGAAGGGTGTCAAATTAATGAGACCTCACATTTATGTAGCACATTCAGGTTTACAAAGCACTTTGCATGCAATTAGTTATTTGATTCTCACAACTACCCAATGAAGTAGGTGATATTATTGTCCTCATTTTACAATTGAGGAGACTGAAGCTAAGAGTTTAAATGACTTGAATTGGGTCACACAAGAAGGAAGTGTCTGAGGGAGAATGTGAACTCAGGTCTTCCTGCCTTCAAGTCTGTCTCACTATCTGCTGTTCCTCCTAACTGCTATGGTAGCTCCTAGGACCCAGACCCGTCAAAGTTTCTCTCTATTGAAATATTGGTATCACCCATAACACACACAGAACACAAATTTTGAACATTGATTTGCAATAGGCATTTGTCTAACTGAATTGTGTGACTTTGGTGATATGACTTATTCTATCTGGGCTTCATTTTTCTCATTTATTCATTGAACAAAGTTATTAAGCGCTCCCTGTGTATGGAACACTGGGCTAAGAGCTGGGGAGACAAGGACTTTAGAGGAGACCCCATCCCAGGCTCTTTGGAGCATTTGCTAGAGTATAAAACACAAACACAGATAACTCTAACACCTCATAATGCCTAATAAGGATGATAAAGAGGTTCAATAGGACAAATAATCTCTCTCTTTCCTGTCTTTACTATATAAACTTGTGAGGATCAAATGGACATGAAAGTGTTTGGGAATGGGTAAGGACTATCTAAAAAGCCACCCCCACTCTCCACTCTGCCCACAGCAAGTCACAGGGCCAAGCCTTGGTAGAAATCCCAGCCCATGGCCACTGTATCAGGTCCAGGGCTGCCCATTCTAGAAATGGATTCCCAGGGCCGACATCCCCTCTTGGTGGTGTCCAGAGAGGCCCTGGGTCAGGAGTGAGGCGGTGGGGGAGGGGGGTGGCACCTCAAGGACAGGACCGTGTAGGCGGAAGCTGTGGTTTGACTTGGTCTCATTGTGGTGCCGGAGCTGATAATGAAAGGTGCTGCTGCTGGAGTCTGGGTCAGAGCAGGCCAGAGTCATCAGGATACTGCCCACAGGGATGGTCTCTGGGACTTGGGTGCTGTTGGAAAGATATCGGGGTTGGTGTGAAGAACCAAAATGAGGAATGTTCAGGGGGAAGATAGTGCTGGTACATTGGAGAAAGCTTTGATGCTGAGTGGGAAGACTCGGCCCTGACATGGACCGGTTGTGTGACCACAGACAAATTGCTAAACCTCTTGGGTTCTTGGTTTTCTCATCAGGAGGGGCAGAGGGAAGGATGAGTTGAATGGGAGGATCTCCAAGGCCCTTCCAATTCTAGCATTCTATGTTTGCTTGGTAAGGATTTCAAAGGCCAAGGAAAAGGACCAGCAGGGAATCTGTACCAACAAAATTTCCCAACTCCATTCTACTCTGAAAGGCTCTAAGTTCCAGTCTTGGGTGGGAGTCCCTCTAAGGTGCTGTGAAACAAACCTCTACCCTGGGCCCAAGACCTACCTGACCCTCTGCCTATTTCTGATAATACCAGCTCCTCTCTCAGAGTGCATCCTGGGCACATTTCCTTCAGTCCTCTCCCCCTTCATTTCACAATTTAAAAAATTTCCCTATCCCTGAACCCATGTGTCTGTTTCCCCAAGGACCTTTCTGGTTGCTTAGCAAACTTGACTCCTGGCATCAGAGTTTTTCTCTTCCTCATTTCTAACTGCTTATCCCCGTACCCCCTCTCTTGCTGTTACGCTCTTCCAATTCCCTTTCCTATCAATCAGTTAATCAGCAAGCCTACTGTGTGTGAGGTACTGTGGTAACACACACTTTCCCTTTCCCTTCTCTTCCCTAAGATAGATAAACAATAACAGTAATAACAATATATGAAGATAAACAACAATAATAATGTATTTTCTAGCATTTATATAGAAAAGAGAGAATATAAAGTTCAGAAATCCATACAAGAAAAGTCACTGGAAATACAATTACAAGAAATCTGTCAGTTCTAGATGAAGAGGCCCTAAACTATTCTAATCTAAAATTCTCCCAGGCTTCACCTGTCCTCACCATCCATATTCCCCCCGGACTAGGAAGGATGGCTTTGGACTCCATGAACTGAGCTCCTTGGTTTATTTTATAATCATAGGCTCATTTTCAGTCAATCAGGAAGCTTCAGCTATCTTGGGGACCAAGCCTGGTAGGTTCTGGGTGGTGAGGGTTTCATGGGAGAAGAGGCATCCAGAAGGGCAGAGTCGGGCTGCTGACAACTCACACCAGCAAAGCAGGGGTGCAGCGAGGAGCCCAGGTGTTGGTGGGCAGCACGTTGATCGTGACACTGAGCTGGGCACTAATCGAGGGTTGAAATGGATCATATGCCATTACTTGTATCTCGGTGACGGCAGCCCCAGGGTTTCGCCCCAGATCCAGAGGAGCTGTGGTCCGTATCAGTCCATCCACTGTGCACCAAGTGAGGAGGAGTGAACCTATGGCCCGGCCCACAGCACACATCTCCACCTCACCTGCCCTGTTCACCTTTGCCCAGGCCTACCCCCAAACCTTTCCCATACCCATGAAGGCTCACCAGAACTGATGGAGTATAAGGGGCAGGGGACAGGCTCAGTGATCTCATATCGAACACGGCTGCCATTGGCTTGGACCTGGCCAACCATTCTACCAGCCTCTAGGTCTTCAGAGATGTTGAAGGTCTGGAACTGAATCCTATATGCCCAACAAATCTAAGTACCTTCCCATTCATTGATCTTTTCCCTAGCATTGTCCCCGCCTCCATCAGAGCAGAATAACCAGAAGGAAAAGAGAGAGGTGGCTATAGCTGGTCAGCCCCTTGAGACCCAGCCCAGAGCCGGACACATTCTACATTCAGAATCACAGATCACAAAATTTCAGAGTCAGAAGGGACTTCAGAGGACATCTAGTCCAATCCTTACCTGAAGAGGTATCCCCTTTACGACATTCAATTCCATAAGCATTGAGAGACAGTAGCGTAGTGAGTAGAATAAGTGCTTAATAAATGCTTTTTAATTCCTTCATTCATATAGACCTAAATATCAATGCTACAAGGGAGAATGGGATGCGTGTAAAGGGGAAGTCCAGGTAGAATGCTATGAGAGACTGGAGAAGGGAGAAATCACTTTTACCTGGAGCATCAAGGAAGACTTCCTGAGATAGTATATTATGTAAGTTTTAAAGAAAGAGAAGGGGGGGCAGCTAGGTGGTGCAGCGGCCCTGAATTCAGGAGGACCTGAGTTCAAATCCAGCTTCAGACACATAACACTAGCTGTGTGACCCTGGGCAAGTCACTTAACCCCATTGCCTAGCTTAAAAAAAAGAAAGAAAGAAAGAGAAGTATTTAATGTAGGGAGATGAGAGGTGAGGGATGGGGAGAAAACCATTTGAGGCATTCAGGGACAACACAAGCAAAGGCTGGTATATGTAACTTACAATATTCATTATATGTCTTATCTCACTTTATATTTATAATAACTCTGTGGATGAAATTATGCATGTATTATGACTCCCACTGTGCAGAGGAGGAGACAGAGGTTTGAGAAATAAGGAGACTTACCTTCCTAGATTTTGATTTTCTCATCTGTAAAATGGGGGAGCTGGAAGAGATGGCCCTCAAGGTTCTTTTCTTCTCTAAATCTGGGAACCTGTGTGATCCTGTAACTGATCCCCCAGGTCACATGGACCCAGCCCCACTTCCCTCTCTGTACTACCTCAGAGAGGAGAGAGTGAGAATGGGGGACCCAGAGTGGTCCAGTTGGTCTGGGAGAAAGAAAGTAGGATGAACTAGGTCTGGACCAGTAAGTTGGAGTTAGATTGGAATGGTTGTGAATGCCAGGATCAGGAGTTTATGCGTCATTCAGTGAGCAAGAGATTTCCCAGACAGCAGTATGAAAGATGGACCAGAGAGGATTTACATTGGAAGTGAAGAGACAACTTCCCTGATGAGTGACCATCTAGTTTCCACTAAAGACTTCTGGGGATAAGGAACTTACTAATACCAGAGCCTGTCCATTCAACTTTTGGACATTTCTAATTATTAAGAAGTTTGGAATTACATGGAACTCAGTAAATATTGTTGGAATGAAAAGGAACACCAGTCTCTTTTTCTTAATAAGACCATTAAAAATACATTTTTTTTAGCTGCTTACTTATGTGCAAGGCCTTCTTCCTACCTCCTCTTTGGAGCTCTGGTAGAAGAAATCATAAGATTGTAGTGTAATGCTAGAATGGATACCCACAGCCATCTAGTCCAATCTTTCCCCTCCCCCATCCCATTTACAGATGGGCCTAGGGAGGTTAAGAGGCTCAAGGTAACATGGGCCACATTCCTCAATGTAGGACTTACAATGTAGGACTCACAACGTAGGACTCACAGTGTAGGACCCACAATGTAGAACTCAGCCCTAGACCCAGAGAGAGGAGGGTTTCCTACCTGAAGGAGACCTTGTTGGAGGGATTGGGCAGAACCTCCACCGTCAGGGTCCCCTGGCAGCTGCTGCCTTGTCCATCAGTGACCAAGATTTTCAGCAGGAAGTGCTAGGGGTGAGACCCAAGAGAAAACCAAAATGGCAGGTGAAGGCACATGAGTCTGCCACCCTCGCTGAAACCCTACCGTAATAGCATCGCTTGTTCATTCATTCATTCATTCATTCATTCATTTATTCATTCGCCCATGCAATAAATACTATGCAGGCCTGGGGGATATACAAAGACTCAGTTTCTGTCCTTCTGGACCCTGGACCTTTAATAAGGTTTATTGGGTTAACAAACCTCTTTCTTAAAATACAACTACCCTAGAAAGGGTTGACACATTAGGCTATTGGTTATTCACTCCGAGAAAGTCTGGGGGTGAAAAGAGTTAGGAAACCTAGATTTAAAGGCTGGCTCATCCATTTACTACCTGTGGGGACCTTCTCTGAATCTCAGTTTTCTCTGTAAAATGGGGATAACAACACTGGCTCTCCCCACTTCAAATTAGATAATATTCATAAAGCCCTTTGTAAGCCGCAAAATGCCACATAAATGTTGGCTTATTATTAATTATCACACTTTAGTGTGCATTGATTTAGTCATAGGATTATAGATTTAGAACTAGGAGGGAGCTAAAGAAGCCCTTGAGTCCAACTCTGTCATAATTAAAGATGGGGAAACTGAGACGCAGAGGTGCTAAGTGACTTGCCCAGGTCTCCACAACTAGTAAGTGTTCCAGGTAGGATTTAAACTTGGGTCGTATAGATTCCAAGTCTTTCACTCTCTCCAGGCCATGCTTGCCTGCCTCTTAATCAGCTGTTTTTCCATATAGTGGTTAAACATCCAGACCTTGAGGAAATTTTAATTTTAACGAGGGGAAGAGTGAGAAGAGAATCCTTTGGAACCTTGGGGTTGCTCTCAATTCTTCCCTTTCCTTCACTTCCGCCATCTGAGTACTTCCACAATAGCATATTCCAATCACCACCATCCTAATGGAGGTCCTCATCACCACCAGGTTGGGTTATCACTTACATCCTTATAACTCTCACTCCACCCTACTCTGCCTCTCACACCAACAAACCATCCTTTAGGCCCCCCCCCCCAAGAATCATCTTCCTTATCAATAGCACTGATCACTCCAGGCTTCTGCTCAACAATCTTCACTGGCTGCCCACTGCCTCCAAAACTCCTACACCTGGCATTCAAGGCCTTTCACAGTCTGATCCCACCTTACCTTTCCAGCTTGACTTCTTTGTTTTGTACACTGTACACTCCAGTGCAAGTGAACAAGTCTCTGCCCTCATTCTGAATATACCCTAAACGGCTCAGGATGGTCCTCCATGCCTTATCCAATTTCTATTCATCTATTACAGTCCAACCCAAATCCCAGCTCTCCTTTTCCTAATAGTCATGGCTGGGAGTCACTTTCTCCCGGGGACCTCATCTAGCACATGGTTTTGGCCTCTCTAATGCTCTCTTCATATAATATTATTCTTCTCTGTGTTTCATCCATTGATCTATCAGATGGCAAACTCATGAGAGCAAGGGGTGTGTCTAAAGTGCCTTTCCTCCCCAGGACCCAGCACAGTATTCTCATAGTACTCCATCTATCATCCTCTAAGGTGACCTTGCTTCTACTCTGTAAACATATATGTACATACATATTATCTCCCCCCTTAGAGTGCAAACTCCTTGAGGGCAGGGACTGATTTTCTGTTTTTGCTTTTCTTTGTATCCTCAGCTCTCAGCAGAGTGCCAGGTATATAGTAAGTGCTCAATTAATGCTTATTGGTTGATTGGTTGTATACAGTAGGTGCTTAATACATATTGGTTGAATGAATTAATGAACGGATCACCTGGGCAGCAGGCAGTGCAGAAAGAAGCCTGAGGCTGGTACTGCCTTTCCCATGTCCAACATACCCACTGTCCCCCCTCTCTTTCAGCCTAGGAGTTTTCCCAGCTTTCACCCTGCACCTCCCATCATTTCTCCTTCTTCTGGGGCTCAGCATCTCATCCATTTTTCCAGCGCCCAGCAGGCAAGCGACACTCACCTTGTAGGCACTACCAATGAGGCCCTGGCTGGGGGTTAGCACCTGCCCCAGCTCATTGATAGAGAAGGATCCGGCATCTCGGGGGCTTGTGAGCATCATCTATGGGGAAAAAGGCTGGAGTGGGTAATCAGGGACCCCAACTTGTGTCTCTTCTTTGCTAAGCCCTCCACAAACCGACTTCACTCTGGTAAGGGAAAGAGTTAGAGGTTCTGGATCTGAATCTGCTCTCTGATACTTACTAGCCAGGTGATCCGGAGCTACTCACTTACCCTCCGTTTCCTCATCTGTAAATTGGGGAAATCCTATTGCTACCTACCCACCTGTCTCTTCTACTGCTCCCTTTATATAAGCCTCTCACTGTCCCAGAGCATGTCCCATGTCTTATTATTATTCCTAATATACAATAATATTATGTGTCATATTATATAACATGATGGTGATTATATATTAGATAATATAATAATTATATAATTATATATAAACTTCATCTAATAGTATAATGGTATATGTATAGTAATAGTATAAGTAATAGTATAATGCATATTATATTATTATGTATATTATACAATATACTATAGTATACTATATGTATACTATAACATATATTATACTATATACTATAGTAATAGTATAAGTAATAGTATAATGTAATAGTATAATGATGATTTGTATATGATGTTATATAATAATATAATATTGGGTTTTTTTGTTGTTTGGTCGTTTCAGTCATGTCTGACTCTTTGTGACCCCATTTGAGGTTTTCTTGGCAAAGATACTGGAGTGGTTCGCCATTTCCTTCTCCTGCTCATTCTACAGATGAGGAAACTGAGGCAAACAGGGTTAAGTGACTTGCCCAGGGTCACACAGCTAGTAAGTGTCTGAGGTCAGATTTGAACTTAGGTCTTCTTGACTCCAGGTCTGGCACTCTATCCACTGTGCCACCTAGTTGCCATAATATTATTACATAATAATAATAACAATAATAATAGCTAACATTTAGATAAGGCTTTATGGCTTGCAAAATGCTTTGCTTTTATCTTCTCATTTAATCTTCACAACAACTCAGTAAAGTAGGGGCTACTATTACCCCCATCTTACAGATAAGGAAACAAAAGCTCAGAGAGGTTGGGTGATATGTTCAGGGTCACACAGCTAGCAAGTCTCCTACTTCCAAAGCCCAGAACTCTTTCCACCAAGCAAGTCCATCTTGACGGCCCACCCCATCGCCTTTCCTCACAATGTCTCAGCTGCCTAGAATCTCTATTATTCTATAATTCTATGCCTGGCTGCCTGGGGTTTAGAGAGGGCTAGCCCTTGCCCATTCCCTAGGCTCTGAGCTCCTGTGCCTTGACCCCCTGGCTCACCTTGAAACCAGTCAGTCCCCTGCGGAGCAGTACCACGTAGATCAGGGATTGGGGTTCCACAGTCTCCAGAACCTGCACCTTGTCCCCAGCTGCCCCAGGCAAGAAGATCACAGGATTTAAAGGGTAGAAAGAACCTTAGAAATGATCTAATTTCCTCCTTTTGCAGATGAAGAGAGATTGAGACTCAGAGAGGTTACAAGAGGGGTAGATTCAAACCCAGATCTTTTGCCTCCCAATTCAGCGCTCCTTCCCTTCTAACCCACTGCTTCTTTGCACTAGATCACTGACAGAGGAGACTCCCCCTCTCACTTCCTACCTAGCTCCCAGGTGCCAGAAAAAGGGTTTTGTAAAAGGCATAGGGGGAGGCGTCACCTGCACCCTTCCCCACGTGCTCTAGGTCATGGGCATGGTGCCAGAAGAACTATGGAGAGTGTCCACTTAGACCCACATCACTGTGCCAAGGGTGCTGGGGCCATCTGAGCAAAGCTCCCAAGGGCCTCTGTGTCCACCCTGTGCCCACCTTACCTGTGCTGAAGACCCGGCCCAGACAAATGGGGTGATCATGGGCCTTAAACACCTCAACAGACAGGGGCAGATTCCACTTTTTTCCCATACATGTGAGCTTCAGGTTGAGTTGGTAGTGGTTTACCTGCTGAGCATCCAGCCTGGCTGCACTGCTTAAGGTCACCTAGGGGTAAGTGTGACAGCATCCACTGAGTACCTCACAGCTGGTACAGTGGATAGAGTGCTAGACCTGCAGTCAGGAAGTTCAAATCTCACCTTAGATACTTAGTAGCTTTGTGACTCTGGGTTGCCTCAGTATCCTCATCTATAAAATGGGGATAATCATAGCACCTATCTCTTGGGGGCAGCTAGGTGGCGCCATCATGCATAGTGTACCAGGCCTGGTGTTGGGAAGACTTCTGTTCCTGAGTTCAAACCTAGCCTCAGACACTTACTAGGCATGTGACCCTGGGTGAGTCACTTAACCCCTGTTAGCCTCAGTTTCCTCACCTGTAAAATGGGCTGGAGAAGGAAATGGTAACCCCTCCAGTATCTCTGCGAAAAAAACCCTAAATGGGGTTACAATCAGTTGGACATGACTGAAAAACAACCGAACATCTCCCAGAATTGTTGTGAGGATAAAATGAGATAATATTTGCAAAGCGATTTACAAAACCTTAAAGTGATATATTAATGCTATTACTAAACTGTTCGGGAGCCCCTGAAGAATCAGAAAGTACTGCAGTTGGACTCAGTCTCCACTATTTACTAGCTATGTGACTTTAGGCAAGTCGCAAGAGATGCAAAAATTAACAGCTAAATTAGCACCTAATTAACAAGAAGAATTAGTTTAAATAGGAAGCACCTCATTATGAACAACCTTGGTAACCACTAGAGTAAAGAATTCCTTCCTCCCCCTTAACTTTGACCAAGAAGCAGTAGCATAGTGACTTGTGTTATTGTAACATCATAAATTGAGAATTTCTGAGCACATTTTATGCCAATTTGTGTGTGTGCGTGTGTGTGCTGATCTCACACTGTCTTGTTTTAAAATTTAACCTTTAAAACACTTAAGCCAAACATTATGAGGCTTTACAAACCAGACTATGAAGTGATTTCTTCACACCCCTTCAGTAGTCTTTCCCATCCCATTCCCTGGGACCCCCATTGTCCTTCTCTCCATCTCCTTCTCACACTGCTCTTCTGGACCTCTCTTGGGCTGTCTTGTCCTGCCTTCTCCAGCCTTTCCTATATAAAGAACCCTTGGATGAGAGGTGCAGTCAGGAGGAGAGATTCTGAATCAAATGTGTTGCAAAAAACAGAAGATTGACTTTTTTTAAATTTTAATTTTTTTAAATTAGAAAGAAATATCCTGCCCAGATCATGTCCTTCCTCCACTCTCAGATCTCAATCCATTCCCAGGAACTCACATCCCAGCAGAGACAAATAGGGACAGCTACTCAGGATGTCAAGGAAATTGGAAGTGGCTATACCCCTTGGACCCCAGCCTGAAGTGTGTCCTGAAGGCTCTTCCTAGGAGTCAGTGGCTAGGGGAACAGGTAGGAGCTGGCATGTGTGATCTCTTTAGGCCTTTTCATTTATATATAAAATAAGAAGGTTGGACTACCATGGGTTCCCAAAGTGGGTGACACCCCTTGCGGGGCACTGGAATGATCCAGAGGAGTGGTAGTAACCTCAAGTGTAATAGGAGGGCACTGAATAAAAATAAGGGAGCGGTGGAAGCATAAAGAAAGAAGAGAAGAAAATTTTGGAAAACCATTCGTGCGTGTTTCATCTGTTGTATAACAGAGTTAAAGTAATAGTGATTACATTATTTTCCAAATAATTTTCCAAATAATGATCCACAAAATGCAAATTATAACTGATCAGTGGTCAAGTCTGCCAACAGGTCTTAACAAGCAAGTGTTGGCAGGCAAGTATGTCCTGTGTTGTCAGGAAGTCAAACATGCATAGGCAGGAATATGTGCATGTAATGACTTGTTTACAATATGATACTATACAGTTACATGACATAATATTGTGTCATCATAATTTCAATGCAGGAAAAAACCAACAAATTTACAATAAATTATTAAATTTAAGATGAGTTTTTTTTTTTTAGGCTATGCAATGGAGTTAAGTGACTTGCCCAGGGTCACACAGCTAGTAAGTGTTATGTGTCTGAGGCCAGATTTGAACTCAGGTCTTCCTGAATTCGGGGCCGGTCCTTTATCCACCACACCACCTAGCTGCCCCATAAGATGTGTTATTTTTTATTTTATATTTTTTGAAATGATGCAAATTTTAAAAAACCATTAAAGGGTTAGAGAAAGTAGATTTCCAGGGGGGGGACTAAGTAAATTTTTTTTTTGAAAAGAGGGTGGTTGGCTAAGTAAATTTGTGAACCTCTGGACTAAACCAATCTTTATTTTTTGTTCAGTTGTTTTTCAGTCATGTCTGACTCTTTGTGATTCCGTTTCAGATTTTCTTGGCAAAGATACTAGAGTGGTTTTCATTTCTTTCTCCAGTTCATTCTACAGAGGAGGAAACTGAGGCAAACAGGGTTAAGTGCCTTGCTCAGGGTCACATAGTAAGTGTCTGAGGCCAGATTTGAACTCAGGAAGGTGTCTTCCTGACTCCAGGCCCAGCACTCTCCCCACTGTGCTACCAATTTGCCCCTGACCAATCTAGATGACCTTTAAGGTCCCATTCAGCTCTTGATCCTAGGAAGCCTGGGAACGCTCTGGGCTCTCAGACCTCTCCATCAACTGTGTGTTCTGTGAATTCTCTTTCAATCTCCCTCTCTCTTTAACAGAAGGGACTATGTCTAGTTCACAGCATCATAGAAATTTAGATCTGGAAGGGACCTTAGCACTTTGCCTAGAGTAGGCCCTCATAAATATTTGTTGAGTTGAATTCAGTCCAATCCCTTCCTTTTACAGATGAAGAAACTGAGGCACAGAAGCCTAATGAATCGAAATTCCGAAGGTCCTATCCAGTGCCTAAAATATTTATCCCCCTACCCACCCACCCAAACACAGACTTTAGTAAGATATGATAGCTGATAGCCCTTAAGTAAGGGCTGTAGGAGGCCAGCCCTGGTTCTCCAAGACCTCCTTCACCACCCCAACCCCAGACCCTCGTACCTTTGCCAAATACTGTGTGTAATATCCAGAGAAGCTGGGCTGATTAAAGAAGGAGCTGGGGGGATTCACACTGTCGAGCTCTACGGTGGGTGGGCAGGAGCAGTTGAAAGAGAATATGTGGATGACCGAGCCAGGTGCCTGTTTCTCAGAGATATTCACAATCCAGGGCAAGCCTGCACCCAAACCACAGCTCAGTGATCTGGATTCCTTGTGCCCTTTACACCCCGAGGGCAACCTAGAAGCACCATAGGAACCCAGGCAGCTGAAATGGAGTCAGAAGACCTGAGTACAAATCCTGGCTCGGCCACTTACTACCTGTGAAATCCTGAGAAAATCATTTATTTACTCCGGGCCTCAGTTTTTGCATCTATAAAATGGGAGGGTTAAATTAGATGGTCTCTAATGCCTGTTTGATTCTGCATCCTATGATTCCCTCACCAGCACCTCAGATCATAATGAAAGAGGTTTGTTCCTGGCCCTAATGCAAAGGAATTGATTGACATTGAACAGGTCACATCACTTCTCAAGGCCTTGGTTTTCTTTGCAATATGGGGAGAATTGTGCCTGCCCTCTTTACCCCTGGGTCATAGAATATAGAGCTGGAAAGGACTTTAGTGATCAGTTTCCATAAACTCTTCATTTTACAGGTGGGGAAACTAAATCCCAGAGAAAAAAAGTAAGAAAAACAATGGCAAGCATGTATATAGCAGTTTAAGGTTTGTAAATAATAATAGCTCACATTTATATAGTAACTACTATGTATGTGCCTGGCACTGTGCTGAGCACTTTACAAATATTATCTTATTTAATCCATATAGATACCCTGGGAAGTAGGTACTATTCTTATCATCCACATTTTTACAGGTGAAGAAACTAAGGCAGACAGAAATTAAGTGACTTGCTCAGGGTCACACAGCCAGTGAGTATCCAAGGCTGGATTTGAACTCAGGTCTTCGTGACCCCAATCTACCCTGGCTACTGTACCACCTAGCTGTCCCCCAAGTACTATGCATACATCATCTTACTGGATCTCCATACCAATTCTGTGAGATGCAGAGCCTGGCCCATAGTAAGCACTCGATAAATGCTCATTGACTGAGATATGTACTGTCATTCCTATTTTACAGATGAGAAAACTGAGTCAAAGAGAGAGGCTGTGACTTGACTAGGGAAACACAAGGTAGGGTCTGAGGCAGGATTCCAACTCAGGTTTTCCTGATTATAAATCCAACACCATCCATTGTGTCACCAAGCTGCAAGATTTACATTTTTAACAGATCTGTCCATGATCATACCTGTAGAAAGCCATAAAACATATATTTGAACCTAGCTCCCCTAACTCCAAATACAGAACTCTTCTCAGCATACCATATAATTCCCAGAGTGGATGGCGGAAATCTCTGTTGAGTGACAAGGGATCTTTGGGGTAGTTTAGAAGGCAGTAGTCAAAGGTAGTTACACTGGGGAGGTCGGGATGCTCAAGGGGACCGGGAGTTTGGTGCTGAGGTTCACCCTGGACTTCCTTCCCTTTTCCTTGCTCTCAGCCTCACTCCCACCCTAGGGGCTTCCCCAGGAGGATAGCTTACCTCTAAGAGCCTGGATTGTCCCAGGAGAAAGCAGCTCATGGACTAAACTCTTACAGTCCCCAAAGTTGAGTAAACCCGAGGCACCTTCAAAGACAAGAATTGGTTCTGACTGGGGTGGGGTGGAAAGGAAGAAGGCCATACTTCAGGAGAGGCATCCCCCACACCCTTGTCCTTCCCACCCCCAACTGCTCCATACCCCACATTTCCAGGGCAAAAATGAGCCCCCCAAGGCAGAGCAGCTTCATGTTGGGGGCTGATAACTGAGAGGAGGACGGCTCGAGCTCCCTCAGCTGAAGCCTCTGTTAGCTGGTGTTTGTCACACCCACAACGTTGCCAGGATGCATTGCCTGGGAGCTGTGGACACCACCTTCCACTGCCCCGCCCAGCCCTTGCCTTGGGTTCAGAAAAATCCCTGTGCCCTGATCCCCAGGTATAACTACCTGTCACTTCATTGGGCCACCTATTTCCTACTTTGTGAACTTCATTCTCATCCCACCTCCTGGGACTCAGAAGGGCAGGTATGAGTGCCTCCGTGTCATAGGAGGGAAACTGAGGCCAGGCAAAGCAAGTGGTCTACTCAAAGTGACCCAGCTCCTTAGTGAAAGTAGTAGGACATCACTTCGACGTCCCCCTGGCCCTTCAAACTCACCCTGTTCTCCCTTCTGACTTCCCCTTCTGTCTATTGAACCATCATTCCCCTTCCTTCACTTCCCTGTTACCTTGGGGCTATCTTTGACTCTTCTCACTCTTTCACCTCTCTTATAAAATCAATGACCAAGTCCTGTTTATTCCCCCTTCCTCCCTATAGGTAGCATGATCAAGAGGAACTTAGTCAAGATTAACAAAGTTAAGGGTTAACTTATGCCCTGCTATTGAAGATACCTCTCTATAGGGCAGGGGTTCTTAACCTGAAACCCATGCACCAAGACAAATTTTAAGGAGTTCATGAACTTGAATAAGAAAAAATTATGACTTTATTTTCACTAGCTTCTAAATGAAATTTATATTTCCTTCAATTATTTTATTTTTTTAAAGCACTGAGACATTTTGTTATTCTTTTTTTTTTCAGCCCCAAATTCTCTTCCTTCCCTACTCCCTCTCCTACCCAATAAACAGGAAAGAAAAGCAAAACTTATTACAAATATTTATAGTCATGCAAAAACATTTCTGCATTGGGCATGTTCCCCTCATCCTCCAAAAAAAAGAAAAGAAAGAAAGAGAAAAAATACACTTCAGTCTTCACTCTGAGTCCATTAATTCTTTTTCTGGAGGTGGATATCATGTTTCATCATGAGTCCTGTATAACTGTGGTAGGTCATTGTGTCACCAGGGTTACTGAGTCTTTCACAATTCATAATCTTTTCAATATTATTACAGTGTAGATTGTTCTCCTGCTGCTGCTCACTTCACTTTCATCAGTTTATACAAGTCTTCCTAGGTTTTTCTAAAACCACCCCCTTCATAATTTCTTATAGCACAAGTATACTATCATATATGTATATGTATATGTGTATGTGTATGTGTATGTGTATGTATATGTATATGTATATGTATATGTATATGTATATGTATATGTATGTGTATATGTATGTGTATGTGTATGTGTATGTGTATGTGTATGTGTATGTGTATGTGTATGTGTATGTGTATGCATACATGCGCGCGCACACACACACACACACACACACACACACATATATATATATATATATACACACACACACATACATACACGCACCATAACTTGTTCAGCCATTCTTCAATTTATGGGCAACTCTTCAGTTTCCAGTTCTTTGGCACCATAGATAGAGTTCTTCTAAATATTTTTTAATACACAGGTCCTTTTCCTTTTTCTTTGATCTTCTTGGGGTACAGACCTGGTAGTGGTATTGCTGAGTCAAAGGATATGCATAGTTCAATAGCCTTTTGGGCAGAGTTCCAAAATATTTTCCAGAATGGTTGGGGAAGTTATACTAAAAATGTACCTATTTTCCCACATTCCTTCCAGCATGTATCATTTCCCATTTTTGTTCTTTTAACCAATCTGAAGGCTATGAGGTGGTACCTCAAAGTTGTTTTAGTTTACTTTTCTCTAACTATTAGTGATTTAGAGCATTTTTCCTATGTGATTATTGATAGCTTTGACATCTTCCTTTGAAAACTGCCTATTGAACATTTATCATTTGGGGAATGGTTCTTATTCCTATAAATTTGATTCAGTTTCCTGTATATTTTAGAAATGAGACCTTTATCAGAGAAACTTGCTGCAAAGCTTCCAGTTTCCTGTTTTTCTTCTAATTTTAGCTGCATTGGTTTTGTTTGTGCAAAAAAAAAATTTTAATTTTTATAGAATTAAAGTTATCTGTTTTACCTCCCATGAACCCATCTCTTGCTTGTTTATTAACTCTCCCCCTATTCATAGATCTGACAGGTAATTTCTTCCATGCTTCACTAACTTGCTTATGATGTCGCTCTTTATGTCTAAATCATGTACCCATTTCGAGCTTATCTTAGTATATATATGATATAAGATGTTGGTCTATGTCTAATTTTTGCCATACTACTTTTAAGTTTTCCCAAAAGTTTCTGTCAAATAGCGAGTTCTTACCCCAAAAGCTGGGATCTTTTGGATTTATCAAACACTCAGGTTACTGTGCTCATTTATTTTTATATGTTATGTACCTAATCTGTTCTATTGATCAACCTATTTCTCATCCAGTACCAAATTGTTTTGATGATTACAGATTTGCAGAATAGTTTAAGATCTGGTACTGTTAGGCCCCCTTCTCTCTCTCTCTCTCTCTCTCTCTCTCTGTCTACCCTTAATATTCCTTTTTGTGTATGTGTGTGTGTGTGTGTGTGTGTGTGTGTGTGTGTATGAGGACATCAGGGTTAAATGACTTGCCCAGGGTCACACAGCTAGTAAGTGTCAAGTGTCTGGGATCGGATTTGAACTCAGGTCCTCCTGACTCCAAGGCTGGAGCTCTATCCACTGAGCCACCTAGCTGCCCCATAATTCCCTTGATATTCCTGACTTTTTGTTCCTCTAGATGCATTTTATTATTTTTTTCTAGTTCAATAAAACAATTCTTTGATAGTTTGATTGATATGGCACTGAATAAGTGAATTAATTTAGGTAGCACTGTCACTTTTGTTGTATTGGCTTGGCCTACTTATGAGCAATCAATATTTCTCCAATTATTTAGATGTCTTTGTGTGGAGTGTTTTGTCATTGCATTCACATAGTTCCTGTGTGTCTTGACTACTAAGTTGGAGCCGGAGTCGGAGGCATTTAGGGTTAGAGTTGGAGTCAGTTAGGGTAGTAATTTTAAATGTAATTTCTTTTTTTACCTCTTCCTGCTGGGGTTTTGCATATATAGAAATATGGATGATTTGTGTGGGTTTATTTCACATCCTGTAACTGCGACAGTTGTTAAATGTTTCAACTAGTTTTTTAGTTGATTCTCTAGAGTTCCCCAAGTAAACCATCATATTTGCAAAAAGTGATACTTTTGTTTCCTCATTGCCTATGCTTATTCTTGCAACTTTTTTTTCTTTTCTTATTGCTATAGCTAATATCTCTTGGGCAGGGACCTGTTGTTGGCCAATGTTGGCCAAAGAGCCAGAGTGAAATGGGTGTAAAGAATAATCTTTAAGAAAGAAATCTAGCTAGTAAACCCCAAGATATCTAGGTAGTTTCAGCCATCAAAATTTACTTTTCTTTGGGCAGAACTTCCTCAGATAAGGGCATAATACCCCATGTAGGGACAGGAGAGGAGGGAGAGGGAGAGGAGGGGAGGGTGGAGGAGAAGAGAAGAGAAGAGAGGAGGACAAGCTGAATTGCCTAACTGGAATTGGCCAGCTGGATCCCCATTGGGGCAGCTAGGACTACTCACAGGTTGTGGTTTCTCCTTTGTTCTCTAAGAGGATCAAGACATCAGGGGATGTCATGGGAGACCTTATTTCTCTTTGGGCCAGCAACCTTGAAGGTCTTCCCCTCCCAGTTTGATTTTTTTTTTAAATTAAAGGGGCCGTCCCTTGACTCATTTCTTAAACAGACCAAATCACTGAATGGATGTTGCCTCGCTCAAAGTGAGAACTCAGAAAGACCTTAGCTTAAAAAGGCCAAGGTCCCCGACTGCATTCTGGGCCATCTCCAGTTGTCCTGATCTATCTTTTGCCACTGGACCCAGATGACTCTGGAGGGAAGAAAGAATGAGGCTGGTGACTTTGCACAGCCCTCCCTCATTTAAATCCAATTCACTTGCAAGTCATGTTATCATCTTCCTGATGTCATGGTCCTCTTCCAAAACAAAAGACAAACCACAGCTAATATTTCTAATACAATCTTGAATTAAAATGGTGATAATGGAATCCTTGCATCACCTCTCATCTTATTGGAAAGACTTCTAGCTTCTTCTCCCCATTACAGATAATACTTGCTCTTCATTTTAGATAGATACTACTTTACATTTTTGGGGCAGCTCAGTGATGCAGTGGATGAAGTACCAGGTCTGGAATTAGGAAGACCTGAGTTCAAATCTGGTCTCTGACACTTACTAGCTATGTGACCCTGAGCAAGTCACTTAACCCTGTTTGCCTCAGTTTCCTCATCTGCAAAATGAGCTGGAGAAGGAAATGGCAAACCACTCCAATATCTTTGCCAAGAAAACCCCAAATGGTGTCCCAAAGAGTTGGACATGACTGAACAACAATTTAACATTTTGAGAAAAGTTCCGTTCATTCCTGCGCTTTTTAGTGTGTGCGTGTGTGTGTGTGTGTGTGTGTGTGTGTGTGTATGTGTGTGTGTGTGTGTGTGTTTTAATAGGAATGGGTGCTATATTTTGTCAAAAGCTTTTCCTGCATCTATTGAAATAACATGGTTTTTGGTGGTTTTGTTATTGATATGGTCAACTATGCTTATAGTTTCCTTAACATTGAACCAATCTTGGCATGCCTGGCATAAATCTAGCCTGGTCATAGTGTGTGGGTCTTTGTGATATATTGCTGTAATCTCATTGCTAGTGTTTTAAGTTTTTGGGCTTTTTTTTTGTTTATTTTGTTTTTTGCATCAATACTCATTAGGGAAATTGGAATACAGTTTTCTTTCTCAATTTTGACTCTCACTGGTATAGGTTTCAAGACCATATTTGTGTCATAGAAAGAATTTGATAAGACTCCTTTCTTACCTATTTTTTCAAACAGTTTATGTAATACTGAAAGTAATTATCCTTTAAATGTTTGGTAGAATACACATGTAAATCCATCTGGTCCTGGAGTGTTTTTTTCCTTAGGGAGCT